TACTGTCACGGTGTGGTTTCACTTCCTGTTGTATTTTGTAGTTTTCTGCCACTCGTGTCCCCGGGTAACTTCACTTCCTGCCTTGTCTCGTCATCCCCTGTGTTCCTCTAATAGTTTCCACCTGTGTCCAATCACCTGCACCTCCCTTGTGTATTTAAGCAGTGTGTCTCCTGTGTCACTTGTCGCGTCATTGTCTTTTGTCACACATGTTGCCTGCTGCGTTTCCTCCCGGTTCCTGTGTTTTTGAACATTGACTATTAAAGTCCTTTGTGTTTCCTGACAACTCTGCGTTTGAGTCCTGCCTTCCACCCTCAACCCTGACAGGTGGAAGTGATTTATCAAGCACAAATGTGAATTACTTGCTTGTTCCGGCTTCAAAAATTTGATTATTTGCAATTCAATTTGTGAATTAAATATCTTTTGCTTGCAAAGATTGGATTGCAGGAAATTCAGCAATTTGAAAACATCATTTTTGAATGTGCTCAGGTTTCTTCTCAGTTTCTTCTTTAGTTCAGTTTTTATAGGTCAATATTTTAGGAAATATACTCATGTGTTTGTTTCCAAGAGCAAATGAGATACAACACTAAGCTAGGCTAACCATGGCACTTTTCCCACAAAATCCCTGAAAGCATATCAGTTACTCTCCCGGTTTTACCGTGAATTGTATTTTATGTCTTTATGAATTAGACAGTGAGATTAAATCAAAACTCCTGTTTACAACTCTCACACAAATCATACAGGATAGTCCAAGTCCCATTTATCCAGTTGTGTGCTTCCTGCTTCCCAAAGATGCATGCATTATCATTAGGACTGTTAATACATTTTAAAAAATGAACTAATCAATCGCACGTTTTGAAATTCATTAATCGCGATTAATCGCCTCGGCAACTATAAAGACATTTTTTTTCTGTGTGCTCCCTTTAGCTCCCTCTGATGCACATTCTGTTCACAGCATGTGTGGGACTATTTGCACACATGCGGTGCACCGTACCTCCACAAACATAATTGCTGTAGAGCTAACGGGTCTCTGGCCACATTAGTCTTCATCAGCCACCCTCAGATCAGCGGGCGCGCTACAGGAGCAGCCAGCAGGTGGTCCCTGAAGTCTGCACTGGCCGCTGCCGGAGCATACTCATCGCCATCACGCTGTGCTTTTGATCTGCACAGGAGTGTGAACAACTAACCGAGAAGGCAAAATTAGTACGGCTGAAAGAGCTGCCGTCAACAACTGGCCCACAAAGTAAAAAAAAAACTTCTCTTTTGCATCCATCAGCATTTCAAATCACAATTCTGCCGCAACTGGCTATTTTGTGGTACGTTTGTCTGGGTTAGTGTCTGTCTGTCTGTGTGTGTGTGTGTCGTGTGTATGAATATGCTTGCACTGTATGTACGGTATGTGTGTCTCTGATGTTGGTGTCACCCTCACACTCCCCCGCCCCCACCCCCCCTTCCACTGCAACAAACCCACCTACAGTCCAAGGGAAGACAGTGTGCATTCCAGGTTAGAAATAGCATGTTTGGGTTGTGCTGAACCTCGCAACCGCATGTGGAAACATTATTCTTGGAAGACAACGGAAAAATGTTTGGTGGAAAGAAGCAAACCATATAACAGTTGCACCAACCAGAACCACAGGAAAGTCTTGAATGACATAGTTGTTCCAAAACAGCCCCCACACCAGAAAAATCTGCTGTAGGAGTGGACCGCTCCAGTCAAATCGTCTCTGTGTTCCACGTAAACAAGTGTATCTATGAGTGGCCTGCAGGTAATACAACTAAATAAAGCAGCGTGGGCTCGCAAAAAGACAGCCCCCAATTCTCACTTCCCCCTTTGTGGACTAAAGGCACACGATGCATTCGCTTGTATCAGTAGGTTGCACCGCCGATTGCAAGGTGCTCTCCGATGTTGATGAGACATCGGACATGACCCCTTTCTTGCACCCAACTGGTTAGACACATGCATAATGTTCTCAAAGTGGCCTCAACTCTCCCCCAAAAGCAGCTTCCTCATAGACCTCATGTCAGAAAAGGGTCACTGTCCCTGAGGCCGTTTTTTTTGCACCCACAATGCCCTAAATACGCACTTGACACTTTGCACAACCAAATATATCACTTAATAGGTTGCATAGTAAATGCTTCTGCGGTTTACTGTTTCATTTCTCAGAATATTAATCAGAGTCACGTCTCGATCACCATGCTGATTGAGATCCGCAGGCTTTATCTTTTTTGCGCTAAAGCGAAGCGTCTGTTTACGCTTCTGAATCAGTTTGACAATCCCGGCTACATCCTTTACACACACATAGTAGACCCTTGTGTTATCTTTCTTCAGAATTTTTTTTTCTGAAATCCAGAATTTTCCACAGAATGAATTGCCTTCAGAAGGAAAACGGACGCTACAAGTGATCTAAGTCTCAGCTGACCAACTGAATGAGTTAGTCTTCTGATTAAAGGATGTAGCTTTGCTTCCTCTTTTTCAGGAACCCTAGCTTAGCACTTTCCATCCATTGCACTGCAGCTGTCTTTGCTGAACTTGGTTATCTAATCATTGCTAACCCAAAGGAAGTCTAACTATGTATTTTCATTGAATTTATAAAAGAATGTCTTCAAAAAAACTAAGCTAGAAAAAAATCAATTATATTTATAAGAAGCCCCTGTGGCCCAAAGGGTGTCTATTTTGGCAAGTAATACCACATGAAAACATCCAGCAGTTTAGATTATGTTCCGTCAGTTTATGAAGGAAAAATTGAATTAAAATCATTTCATGTTTGAGAACATTTTTCTGTGTGCAATCATGAACACACATCTAATTTGGAGCGCTGCGCTAAACTAGGACAAAAAGACACCCGATGTCAACGCATACATTTTAAGAAATTGCACACGTTATTCTGCTCTTGTCCAGGGTCCTTGAGTGTGAGGGGCTCCACTCCTGACAGTCAGCGTGTATTTTATTAATACATTTTGGCTACACTATGTGCGTAAATCAGTATATGTATGTATTAATACCAAAATGTCATAAATACAAAGTACAGCATTTCTCTAATTTCATGGCTGGTTAAATGATTTTTGCCTTTGTTGTTGGGTCGAGCTAATAAAGTTACTGACGGTCGACGGTCAAACGTCTATTTCTGTGCCCACAACAGAGTATTTCTTCATTCAATTGTTTCCACAAAACAACCTCTGAGCTTTCATTTGGAGCTGCTGCCTGTGCTTATTATTCACATTCCTATCCAGCTGATGTTATCTTGCTGAGTGTGTCTAAGCTGCTCAGCATACCTTTACAGTGAGCCCCCCTCTTAGATTACAAACACATGTGGATCTCTACAGCCACGCAGCACACAGCCGGTACTTTTAGGCTAGACTCTGCTACCTTTCATTTAACTTTACATTTGTCGACCAGATGACCCCTTTTTTGCTGCATGCTATTTGAATGGGCTTTGGGGAACCATGTGAGTGGAAATGCTTGTGCACTACGCTCAAAGTCAGACGGATTTGTGTATGGATATCTCGTGCGATCGTGATTCCACGCACAGCGGGGAGGCGGGGAGGGGAGGGGGGAGTACAACGCCGTTTCAATCCGTCTTTTTAAACGTTTAGGAGGCACTGAGCATGTGAAGCGGAAAGCGTCGGTCAGGCTTGCATGTGTTGAATCATGAGGCCGGCTTGCAGCAGGGGGGCTGATGTCAGCCCTTGCGGTATGTGCTCGCTGGGCTCGGCTGTAAGTCGACCCCCCACCCACCCACCCACCCAACTCACCCTCTTTCCCCCTCCTCTGTTGTGCTCCTATTTCCAGGGCGTGAGCGGAATGTCCGTGGATGAGAAGCCTGAAGCCCCCATGTATGTGTATGAGTCGACGGTTCATTGTGCCAACATCCTCCTCTGCCTCAACGACCAGCGGAAGCAGGATATCCTGTGCGATGTGACCGTCCTGGTGGAGGGCAAGGAGTTCCGCGGGCATCGGTCCGTGCTGGCCGCCTGCAGCGAGTACTTCCTCCAGGCGCTGGTGGGCCAGGCGGAGAATGGCTTGGCCGTTAGCCTTCCGGAAGAGGTACGTCCATCAAACGCGCCGCGCTCTTCCCCCTGACAGGTTTTCTCTTGCAGGGGGTCAGAAGGGCCATCGACTTTGAGACAATGCAACCCTGAAACTCCCCACCAACACCAGGACAAAAGCGATGCTAACACGGCTCTCTGCACACTTCCTGCAGACATCCATGGCCACACGCGTGTACGATCAGTGGCCCGGGGCCCCCTATCCATGTGGAAAACAAGTCCACCTTATTGTACCCGATTTAACTTAAATTCACTTAACTTCTTTCAACCCAAACCACAATCTTCTCCTAAACTTAGAAGTATGTTTTTCTAGTCCTAAAATTGGTTTCTTGGAAGGCGAGTAACCTTTCACGGCGTAGTAAGGGCCAAACACTACAGATACAGTTTGGCCCAATGACAATGTGCGCTGCGGGTGTATCAGAGTGGCTTCACGAAGAAGACTACAGGAGCATAGCATCAGACCCATGCCGGATTCTGGTTTCCGTGCAAACCTCATATTTATCACATGAAGAAGCAATCGGTTCACAGACTACAATGGTACAAATACTTGTTTCTACCTGTTTTCACTTCTTGGCTCTTTGTGATTGACCATAATTCCCACACTTAGCTGTTTTGGGGAACCGCCAGCTAATGTTAGCTGTCAGCTAACGGCACAGTGAGTTAGAAATAGCGTTTTCACATTTGAATTCAAACGTTTGCTCCGTTTTTCCACTACACACCAAATAATGCCTGAGACGGTTACTTTTGATTTCAAAACCTTTTAGATTTTACTCTTTCATTTATGATGTATTGTCACTATACTCATTTTTATTGTTTTATTTGCAGCGTCTTTGTCTGCTATGAGAGCGGATGGCAGCGAAACAGTATTTTAATTTGACGCTCTTTGGAGGGCAAAGACTCGGCGGAAGGTGTGAGAAAGTGCATTATTGAGCCCATAAGACCTGTGATTACCAATTAGCGCCTGTCTCACCCCTTCCACCGCCGTTTTCGGCGCCAGGAGGTAGCGTTTTTCGCGGCGAGATTAACGCCACCCCGGGCTCGGCGCTCGTCAGGTTTAGCGACACTCTCGCTCACCTCGGGCGCTCACACTTTGAACTGATCCCTCTTTGGAGCTCACATGATGAAAGCAGCCCCGCTGACGTATTGATGTCACACAGACCCACATGGGCTCACGTACGTGTGCTGCTGTGAAAACTGGGGCAAATCCCGCGTGTGTGCGTTGGAGATGTGGCTCCTCGCTGGGGCCGGCACACATCAATAAAGGAACGCCTGTCGAACGACTTTGTTGCTGAGAAAGAAGTCGGAGTCAGATTGTCGTCTTGTGTGAAATGAGCGTCTGGGGCTTTTTCTCCCCCCCCTCCTTAACTCAAAGAAGGGACTGCAGGGAAACGGCTCCTGGATGCTCAAAGCAGCATCTCTTTTTATTCACTCTCTGCGCTCGTGAATAATGCATGAGCCCGCTGTGTGTTTCAGGTGTGAGACGCTGTGGGCAAAGTAACATCTTTTAATGGTTTTAAACTAAGCCGTCTTTTCTTTGTCCATTCGTTCAATTTGACACAACATTTCCCACAAACATTGTTTTTGTCATTTGATCTGGGGCAAAACACCATATAATGAATGTATCAGCTTTATTCTGTCACAATGCAAAATGCATTTTATTTTTATTATGACTGGGCTGTGCCTCGGGATTCAAAAAGGCATCGGACAAAATTATCCAGGCAGTAGATTGTATCTCCTCCGGATTAACGATACCTGCATTTCATCCTGTTTGAGAGGAGAGCTAAAAAGGAAATATACTTGTTTTTTTGTCCAATCGATTTTAACCTGGTTTGTGTGATCATGGAGATTTCTTGGCCAGTGGCTAGCGTCTATTACCAGTGCTGTCAGATAAGTTTTAATATTTGTAACAACACACGTCTTATTATTAACATAACATGATCTTACCAGTAATAATATCACAACTAAATAATAATTGAAACTCTCTCATTCAAAACTGTTATTAAATACCTAATAATACTGCTAATACCAAAAAAAAATAACATGCTTTAACATTATGCAAAATGTTCGCTAAAATGTAACAGTATACGCTAAATGTATGTATTTATTATCACTAATGTATTCATATCTAAGCATTCAAATGTTATAGCTGGAAGTGCAACTCAGTTGTTCTATATATATATTATATACTTTATATTTTGGTTATATTTACTTATGTAGGTAAGTACAGCACAGCAGTGAAATAAATATAGTAAATGCCATGAAGTAGAATAAATATAAAGTGGCGACACCTGGGAATACCCAAATATAAAAAAAAAAAAACGGCTTAAAAAAATTAAACTTTGCCAATGTCTCTTTTCTTTTTTTGCTGTACCTTTTTTTACTGCACTTCGCGTGTAACTTCCCTTCAAATGGCCTTGCTCTGCCTCATAGAGGAGATGCCACATCGCTACCTGACTGTCTAGACTCAGTCGCATCACGCAGGAATTGTCATTTCGCTGACGCGGCCTGTCAGGTTGCTTTAAGGAGCCCGTCCCCCTCTGCTTTCACGGTCAGTGACTGAAGCAGGAGGACGCATCCGCGCCTCGTGTCTCAACGCCGTCTTGCCTCGGCTCAAGGGGGGGGGGGGGTCAGCCCAGAGAAGCAGCCTCGAGCCGTGGCTCAATCTACGGAGAGCTTTCCTTCAGCGTGTCTGCTCACGGCTGCCACATATGTGTAAAAATAAGAAAGGGCCTCGACTCCCCACCGTGGGGGGAGAAAAGGGGGACGTTCTTGCAGAGGAAATGTGAAACAAAGACCACATCCCCCACAAACCTTCCTTGCCCCTTCGTCCCCGCCACCCCATCCCCCCCGCCCCGGAATAGCCGGGGCCGAGCGCTGGTGAGTGACATCCTCTGTATCTAATGTGGTTGTGGGCTTGCGGAGGGGCAGCCCTGTTTCATCGCGGGGCTTTGTTGGGCCATCACATCATGAGAACAACACAATCCGGCTTTATCTCAGCGACGCCGTCGTCCGGGCCGGACCGAAGGGAAGGAACGGAAGAGCACGTCAAACACACACACACACACACACACACGGTGTTTCTCTGCATCACGGTTGTTGTGAGCGTAAGAACAAAGGGGGATTCATAAGAATCAGCGTGCCACAAATGAGAGCTTGAAAGAATTTTTTCTTCTTTTTTTTTTTGTACAGAGAGCCCTCCACTCTAGAGGAGCGGTCATCACCATGACACAAATGACCTCATGGCTGTGGCTTGATCCTCACAGCAGACTGCTGCCTGTCAGCTAGTTATTAGCGCGGCATGTTGCCTTTGTTCGCTGATGTAGAGAGCCTTGATTATGCTCTCCAAAACTCTAGCAGAAACCAAATGTATCGTATACGTAAGAAAATGATGTCTTCATTCCAATCGTTGGCCACTGCCACTTTTTTGCACGTCTCACATTCTGTTCGCTGAATCTGTTGATTTTAGACACTGCGGGGATGGTGGAGGGCTCCACAATGTTGTAGATCATCACTGCTACCATTTCTGATGTCTTTGAGTTTTATTCTGGGGGGGGAAAAGCAGGAGAAAGCAGCACTGTTATTCAGCAGAGCGCTGGTTTACAGACCTCAAACCACCTCCTGTTTGTCAGTTCTTTTCTTAGTCACGGGCCAGGGAACACTGCACATTTTTCATCTCAAAAGAAAACACACACACACAGATCTCAGTTCAGAGTATCCACCGGCAGTGTGTTGCGAGGGTTCTGTGATTTATTTAAACAAGAGTAAAAGTTTGAAGTGCTTCTTTGTGTTTTTCACTAATTCTGAAAGGTTTGAATACTAAAGTTAGTTTTGTTAATGGATTGCTTAAAGGTCAAGCAATGGTGATTGGTGGTTATGGCGCATGGTGAGGATTAGCGGTGTAGGGTTAAGAGATCTTTGATGGATTTCCACACTTAAGAGCCAAAAGACACTCGAGATTATGACATGTGGAACCCCATTAAGTCGACCACTAAGCGTCAGTGCAGGAGAAAGACGAAAGAGGGAGGATACAGAAGGCAGCGGGATGTCTTTGGCAAAAATGGCCGGTGTTATGCATCCGAGCTGAGATGGTTGGGGTCCGAGCACACTGGTGCAAGGACTAAGACCATGGCAGATTTCCAAGACAATAATGGGTTAGGCTAACAGAGAGTCCAAACAACTATAAGGTACAAGGTGGTATAAATGTTTTCTCTGGACTGCGTGAATATACTTTGTAGTGCAATAAATAGATAAGGACCCTAGAGTGTTTGTAACAAGTGGAAGTCACCGTGGTCGTCGCCATTAACCAGAAAAGCGCGAGGGTGGTGTCAAGTACAAGTGAAGGCTAAAAGAGACATTTTTAAGTGACCAACATTTCACAATTCACTTCACCATGATGAAAAGATGAGCAATGTTGTGGTAGCAACGTGTAAATCAACGAAAGGGGGGGGGGTCATGTTCTCATGGCTCTCATTTCAACCAGAACAGTTGCCTCCTGCTGGCCATTAGAAATAATGCAGCTTTGAGGCGCTTCAGGACCGAAGGGTCCCACCTGGATTGCAACATGTCTCTTTTGGAAAAGAGACAACAGTGATGTCAGTGGAGGAAAAGGCCCCAAAAGGGCCAAAATTGAGTTTTCCTCTCATAACCATCCACTGGAGACCACAATGTGGCTCAAATAATCCGTGTTGTTCTACCCGAAGATCTGGTAATATCTCATTGTGGAGGCAATAGCCAGTAGTTGTTGAGAAACATTGGTCTGGGCCAACTGACAAGGCTCCATCAGAGAGGTTTACTGCACTGGTTCCTTTTTAACGACAAGCATGATCTTGTCATAACCTGAGCCCGGATCTAGCCACCTATATATAACCAGACCTGAGCCATAAAGGTGTCCGTTCAGAAAAAAATGACATATATTGTCTTGAAAGCTATTGCCTAAGGTCCTATTTTGTTGTCTGGGTTTGAGAACTTGTTGGACTTCAGGCTCCTTGTGAAGTAACT